GGTGCTATGTCTCTGGTTAATGTTTTTTCTGTGAGCTCCTATAACTGTCCAAATGCATATTGATAAGCACGTCTATCACATTTTAGGAACATTTATGGATCTGTGTTTTTTTAAAAGCAATATCTCCTTCCAAATTGTTAGGATGTTGTGTAGGACAAAAGAAAGTAGGACTTCCTGATCTCTGGATGAATTTCCTAGAAATCTTTAAATTGTATAAATGTGTTAAATCTTCCTGCTGTCCCAAGCTAGTTATGCCATTAATGCTACCGTGTCTTGTTTAAATGCTTAATATGCTAAACTAGATCGACTCCATTTCCGCTCTATTTCTTTATTCTTTTACTTCTCACTCTATGTGAAAACTGAAATAGCTGATGACTTGTGCCTGTTCTCTGCTTTCCTTTTGCTTCTCTTAGCCTGTTATGTTGTAGATCAGAATACCGTTATCGAGAATTGATCACTGTTGTGGAAATTATTTGTTACTTACATTATTGACTGCTATGCAGGATGCTTTTCGGGACGCCAAAGCAAATGGTTTTAATGTGACGGTTATCAAGAAAGGGCAGCTGCAGCTCAATGTGGACCAGACATTGGAAGAGGTGGAGGAAGCTATCACGGATATTGGAAGTAAGATATACCATGACAAAATCATGCGTGAACGCTCTTTGGATGTATCTACAGTAATGAAGGGTCTATTTGGTACTGGAAAACCTATGAAGAAGAGGTACACTGCAACCATACGCCTGTCGCTAAATTTTATTACTGGCACATTTTTTCTGGTGAACACTATGATGCCAGATATTTAGATGATGCCTTAGATTAGAACTCTTATTTTGATTGTACCCTTCATATTTTTCAGGAGGAGGTCACGGAAGAAGCTAAAAAAGCCCAGTTCTAAATAGCTGTCTTCTCAGGTATTAAATTTCATAGGTAGTGTTGGTGCTAGTTTATTGTGAACTTATGATACTTTAGAACAGTACATGAAATTTTGTGCAATAAATTTCAAAATTTATAGATGGCTCTTGTACCTGCCAAACAGTCCAGGTGAATTTTAATTATCGGCACTGCTTAACTTACTTCCAAGGAGCCAAAATCAACCCCTACCATGGACATTGTAAAAACATGTAAGCAGAAAGAATAAACATGGCATCCCCATCTTTTATGAGATATAATCATCTTAGGATTATAATAGAAGATGAGAAAATCAATAAGGCCTTTGTTAAATATGCATTGATTTCTATATTTGAAATGATGGGGAAGAAATTTTTTGTTAGTGTTCCTTGACTTAAATTTCTCTACCTCTCAATTTCCTTTTAAGGTAGGGGTAAGGTCTGCGTACACACTACCCTCCCCAGACCCCACGGTGTGGGATAATACTGGGTATGTTGTTGTTGTTATCTCAGTTTCCTTTTTAAAAAAACAAAAAATTTACCCTTCTTTTTCCTGTGTCCTCCTTTGGGAACAAAATCAACTTTTTTTTTTCCTTCTAGTTATATTTGCGGCTATGTCCCTCTGATTTTTTAAATCACAGGGATCTCCCAGCGCTGTAAGCTTCATTGAGATAAGCTAGAGAAAAAAAGAGTTTGTTGGTTTACTAGTACTGAACTTTTATTAGAAAGAGGTAAATTCACGAAAACAATGAAAAGTTGTAAGTTGAAAACTATATTACCATGTCGGATTCTTCTTGTACGACCCACATGATATTTTCTAGTAAATTTTTCGAAAGATTTTGGAATCATTGATCGGAACTGATCCCGCGATTTTTCTGTTATTGAAGGAGGAACTTAAAGGCAGACTGGCAGAGGCAGCCCCTGTTAATTGATTCTTCATTACTGAGGAAATGTTATGTACTTTGAGAAATTAAAAAGAGAGCTCTAAATCGGTTTCTGTTTTTTCCTCCAATTGGACGCTTTTCTTATGTTCCCCGAGGTTGAGCCTGTTTTTTAGTCAAATGGGAGATCGTGAGGGCGTATTTTCAGCTGCTGAGTAGTTCCTCAACCTTTGACAGGCTGGCTATTATGGGAACTCAGTTGCCTAGTTTCTATTAGTCAATAACGTTATATCATGGACCTAGAGTCGTTCTAAACACAACGTACTGCATGTGGGGGGGTGTTCACAGTTAGCTCAGATGGTACCGCTCTTTGAATTGTGATGGGCATTTGAAATTTGAGCCTGAAGCAACGAGTTGAATAAGGTGACCCTTGTTCATTATCATTTGTTTCTTCCCCCGGTAAAGGTGCTCAAAGATGAGTTCCATAGTATATATTCAGTTGCTGCAATTATCCTAGAATGAATAATTAGGAATCCTTCCGCAGCTTAAAGACTGCATGGAATTTTTTTTGTATTTATGATGGTTTAGTGACTTCCCTCTGTGCATCTCTAGACACCTCCCTGATGTGGATGTTTGTGTAATTATATCAAAACTGTTAAAGCACTTCTCTGAAAAATCACATTATTAAAAGTAGAAAGTTTACTGTGATTTAGAGGTCTGTGTTGACTCAGTTTGCAGATTGATTCTTTACATTCTGCCTTTGACAGTATCCTCTGCTAGTATTCTCCGTTTCTGAGGTCCAAAGTTACGAAGAGTTGGTTAGTTTGACCTTGAAACAGGCGATCATTGATTTAGAGAGGAACCCTGAAATATGAGATTTAGAAGTTGATAAGAAACGGTAAAGTTGCTGTCATGTGCCCACAAGGTCACGGGTTCGAGCCATGGAAACAACCTCTTACCGGAATACAGGGTAAGACTGTGTACAATAGATCCTTGTGGTCCAGCCCTTCCTCGGACCCTGTGCATAGCGGGAGCATAGTGCATCGGGTGCCCTAGAAGTTGATAAGAAAAAACCTATCATATTGTTGTTCTTGTAACAACATGGGATACTCTTATCATTTGATTTCGAAGAATCATACAATGAGTGAACATCTTGTGGATCTTGTAAATATGCAAAAAATTGACTAATACAACTTTTATGTGACGGGAAATATTTCTCTTTTATACTGGAGGAGATCCATCTTTAGCATTCATCTTTGTTGTTTTAGTACCTTTTTAGCGTAATAATTGAAGACGTTGCAACAATAAGAATTGAATTTACTGCCGGACAGAATCTTAGTTGACTTGAAAAGAAACCATGTTATATTAGAGAAATTCCTTAAATTAGACCTCCATAACTGCATCTTAGTTTTCTTACCATAATTTGCATTCTAAGTTGTAGCAATGTATAGAAATAGAATTGCTTTATGTGAGGTTTTAAAAGCCAAATAAACTCAGCGACAGCTTATAGCTCAACTCTACTTACATCATTTACCATTCATACTTTTCACCAAAGGCAACAAACAACTTGCTGACTTGCTTTAAGCTGTAAATTAGGTCAAAAGTGCAAATCACCATTTGGTTTAATATTTTGATAAAAATGGAATGATTCAGAGAAGTCTAGTATAACTCCATCACAGTGATGAGAAATCTGGAAGTGGCCAAAAGCAATGGTCTTCTGACCATTTTAACAATCATAAAACATGTTGCAGTTTGACAATCGCCATATACATAAGCCAAAGCACAAAAATCAATTCTTCATCAATTTGTGCCCTTGCATTCGCCTAATTTCTAATACAAATACATCTGCAGTTTCCCTTTTAACAATCCCTTGATGAGAAGCTGAAAATGTAATTAATCAACAGCAAGAAAATCATGCATCAGCAACGGACGCCTAAAACAGAGCCACTGCTGACTTGAATCACCACTTTACACTTCACTCCACTATCCACCCTATGTGTAAACACCTTC